AAAATTTATTAAAGCTCCATATATGGAGCTTTAATACATCCTGTTGTGATTTTGCACATTATAAACTATAAACTGAACTGACTTCCTTATTATAAAGCCAGTGGTTCAAAACCTGGGGGTCGGAAATCTGATGATTTGTTTGAGATACTGAACCTGATTATAACCCACTGAACTATGCAACAAAGGGTCACGAGAGGACCGAGTCATGTGATCTTGGCCCGTCATGCTCTACCTGCAGAGAAGATGTCCATGGCCTGTTTGAGCTCCCCTCTGCTCCTCTGGTTGTTATTGGTCAGGTCCACCAGCGGCGTGTTCTGGTCGCTCTCTGTGGTAAACATACTTCCATCCACAAACCTCTCTGGTGCGATGTAGCACGTCCTCCGTCTGGACGTGTCGAAGAAGTAGTTGAAGTCTGCGGGGTTGTCCTCCGGCAGGTACGTGGGCTTGAAGCTGGCAAAGTCAGTGAGCAGCACCCAGTTCCAGCTGGTCACCATCACATTCTCTGTCTTAATGTCCCCGTGGCGGACGCCAGCTTTGTGCGCCTGGTCAACGGCGTTGAGGATCTGGAAGGCGAGCCAGCGTTTCTCCACGTTGTTGAGGAACGGCCGGGTGCTGATACGGTCGTACAGATTGTCCCGGACGTACTGGCGGAACAGGATCGCAGCTTTCTCCGTCAGGGAGGTTTTCTGGAAGGGAAGGCAGTTCTGGCAGGAGTGCAGCCGGATCTTCAGCTCCTCCAGCTCCTGCTTGTAGCTGGTCAGAGGCAGCGAGGGGTCCTGGATGGCGAAGACTTTGACCACCACCAGGCCCTCCCGGTGTTTAGCCCGGGCCACCTTGAAGAAGCGAGTGCTGCCCAGGCTCTTATCGTACTCATGGTCATGGATGTCTGAGAAGTAACTGTCCACAGACAGGATCTGAGAGGGGGCGATGCCAGCCAGCTGATTTCCCATCACGCCTCAACGAACGACTGTGGGAAAAAAAAAATTTCAAATTATTTTCAGGTTCTCACAGGAGCAATTTAAAAGAAATCAGCACAGAGACTCTCAAAGTTTTTCCACTGCAGGAACGAAACCAAACCCACTGTCTCTGGCTCTGCTTTTGTTTCCTCTGATTTCACTTTGAGACTCTCTTCAAGAGATGAGAGATTTCCCTACAATCACTCAGTCACTGAGATCACGTTTCTCCCAATTGACTGAAGCTTCTGACGTGTATCTGCAGGATTTTATGCACTGCACTGCTGCCACGTGATTGGCAGGTGTACAGGTGTTCCTAATAAAGTGCTGAGTGACTGCATGAAACAGAGCAAAGCAGAAAAGCTGAGACACTGGAGAAGACAGAACCAGAGAACTTAAAAATTACTTAAACGATTAGTTGCCAATTTATTTCCTATTGATCAACTAACCAAAAAATCAGTAAAAGATTGCAGCCCTAATGACACACTACAGTTGGTCCTGCTGTCACATTTATAATGAACAATATCTCAGTATATGACTTGTAAATTACAGTGGTTTGTAAATGACAGTGGGAACACAAGGAATGGGCTTCTACCAAAGCCTCAAAAGATTCTTCAAAGCTGCAACTAAAGATTATTTCCAATTAATGAAAAATCACAAACTGTCAAAGAAGTCACAACTTTGCAAAGCCGAAGATGCCTCGTTCATGTGTCATGAATTGCTCAAACCAAAGTCCAAAAACCCAAAAGTAGTTAGATTACAAAGAATAAATGACAAAGGAGGGAAACCCTGAATCCTTCACTAACTGATTAATAAAATAGCTGCTGATAGTTGTTCTGTGCAATGATTCATCAGTTAATAAACTAATTGTTGAGCTCAGTTCAGGTTACGGGAGGAACCAGGTTACAGGGGGCTGAGTTCCTGCTCTTGAGGTGAGCTAGAAGCGTGAGCCTGAGAAACTTACAGCAACGGAAGAGTAAATAACTCAAGGGTGCAGCCTCTGCTGTAGCATGAAGCTTCTCCCACAATGGAAATAAAGGCTAAAGCAACAGACCCACAGACAGAATGAGATCAGAGCTTAGTTTGACTGTGTGTTTAATATTGAGCGTTAACAGGAGATCAACTCCACCACCAAGAGGTGGGATTAGCTTCCATCTCTCCCTGGTTCTCCGTCTAGCTACACAACTATCTTAAATCCTAGTTTTCTGACATGTTTGTGCCTGTACTGTTGTCAAACATCTGGATTACACATCTGGTGTAAGACTCAGAATAAAGCAGGTGTGGAGCAAACCTCCACATCAGCTGGTGCAGTACCTGAAGGAGCGGTCACATGATTCACATGATTCAGCTCCACAAACAACAGTCTGACAGCGCTAACTTAGCATGCAAGCTAAACTAACACCCACACCACTGTTGTCTGAGTTAGAACAATTAAAATACATTGTAAATGTAATGTTACCGGCTGATGAAGTGGCCTCAGTTGCTGTTGACAGGACTATTGTTGTTGTTGTTGTTGTTGTTGTTGTTATGTTAGCTTTAGCAGGCTAACAGTAGTCGACGTCCCTTCGGTTCCAGTGACGCCGCTAACTGCCGCTAACGGTAACAAACTTCAGCCTGAACTCAGATTAACCGTCTTCATGTCGTGCCTCGGTTCGTCAGCTACAGCAGCCAATCAGCTGCCGTCCTCTTCTGCCACCGGTGAAACGCCGCGCCGCGGTAAACTGACGGTAACCGTGAATATTAAACAAAAGTAGCAGCCTGAATCACGAAGCTAACCAGCTAACCGATTAGCCGAGTTGTTGTTATGGATCCGGGTCTGAGCGGAACTGCAAAAATCGTGAATTGAGAAGATGAAGGACTCTGTACTTTTCTGTCAGAAGAAGTCTTTCACTTAAATTATATATTTGTTCTTTTTTTAATTTATGTATTTGTTCTTTTTTATCATTATTAGTTGTCTTTTTGTTAATTTTATATGTTTCTTATATTTACAGTAAGAACTGCCATGTCGGATCGTAATTTTCCAATTTGAATAAAGGGGAATAACTCTGTACTTCATTATTATTATCAATACACTGGCTATCCTTTGTCTTTGTTGGGTGGAAAGTTAATATCATTAGATGGTATTGCTGCAAAAACAATCACAACTATATGTAGTTGTCAGGTCCAAAGATTCTTTAATATTATTACTTTGTTTTGCACTTTGTTATCTCACCGTCCCATAGGCCTATACAGTGGCAAATGTCCTGACATACCATGTTTACTTTGTAGAAAATCCTGCCAACTTCAGCATCTTCTTACAAAGTAAGAGTCTTTCATATAAAACATATATAGAACTAATAAAATATGATGCTTTCTTATAGATTAAACTAACCATCAGTGTGCCTACAGTAGATTTTAGCAGCTGTCAGATAAATGCAGTACACTAAAAGGAACACATTTTCACTCTGAAATGTAGTGGTGTAGAAGTACAAAGTTACATGAAATGTATGTATACTGAGTATTTGTAATAGAGTAAAGGTACTCAGATACATCCCCCCACTGGAAAAGTGAAACTTGACCAAATAAACAGCACCCATTGTACCTGCAGAGCTGCAGGGTCGTGTTGGCAGCACCACAGATAATTATCTTGTTTTAATGAGAGTCTTATTTAAATTAAAAAGAAAATGAAATTAAAACTTCAGGAAACACGTTTTCTTTCATATGAATGAGTCAAGTCATCTTCACTACACACGATCTTTGTTTTGAGCCAACGGAACTTTCTGGTATCTGGAGAGCCACCGGCCGAAAGTGGTCTGATACCTAAGAGGAAGTGAGGTTTTCAAAATAAAATACAAATACTCCCTACAGTGGTTCCTTGCAGTGGAAAACATCAAAGTACACTGCCATCAACTCAGCTACACTATGTTGGAGTATAGGATGCTTCAAACATTGTACTTCTCACTTATTTCCTGCTTCATTTGCCGTGTTGAGGTGTGGCTTGTTGGGGGGCAGACTGGGCTACAGAAGGAAGGGGGGTGGTATGTTACTGATACTAATTAAATTAGAATAAATAAGCTATTGAAGATATTCAAGAGTTATAAAAGTCCATTTGCATGTTTACTTTCCATAATGTTCAGAGCAGCAAAGAAGGTAAACGGTGGAGGAATACATACAGAGGTATACAGTTAATTCAAAATTCACCATCACTGTCGGGTAAAGAGAAATCACAAAAATCATATAACCACATGAGAAGGTTTCTAAACTAAATGTTTTAGTTTCTAACCAATCATAAATCACCCCACAATCCTCTGGTGTATGTAGAGGTAAGGGATAAGTGAAGTGCCTTTTCTGTATCACTTAATAGAGTGATAGAGAAATAGAGATGTACTTTTCCATTTTTGTTTATTTCATTTTCCCATTCCTCCAATTGCAATGCAAAATGAACTTCCTTTTACAATTTGCTGTGATTATATGTGGTGTTTTCCTCCTTTGGGTTTAGTAATTCATTGTACAACTTTGATTTGAATCAAGTCAGATTTCATTTATACAGCCCAATATCACAAATCACAAATTTGCTTCAAGAACTTAGGAAAAAGAAAATATAAACTGTATGCAGTCTGCAGAAAAAACCTAAACAACCTTTAATGGGAAAAATGGAAGAAACCTCAGGAAGAGCAACAGAGGAGGGATCCCTCTTCCAGGACACACACATACATTAGATGTGGTATTTACAGAAAAGAGCAACACAGTAGATTTACAGTATATGGACAACCAGGATGACAATATTATAGACTATAGACTATAGTAAGACCATGACCTGTGAGGAACCACATGACCTCCTCTTCACCTGTAGACCTGGAAAGAGGACAGACTACACAAACATTGTCCAGCACATAACGTTGATTTATTTCTGTGTATTTTGTGAACTTCAACAGAATATAAAAATGTAATTACACTAATATAAATTATAATAATAAAAGGAGCGTTCCCGACACTTCATGAGTCTTCGAACCTGCTTTTATTTTGATAGGGTCTCCGGAAGTGTTGCCGTAGTTGCCGTAGGTGGAGCTGATATGGTGGAAGCTGTTCAGTCAGAGAAAAACGCTCCGCTGTGGGATTTCACGGAAGATGCTGAAGAAACGGGAGCTGCTGGTAAGTTTAATGTTTGTCAGACTTTTCCTGTGAAATGTCGAGTGATTAAAACTCAGAATCCACCGCCTCTTTGTGAAACAAACACATTTTTAACACCGACACCGACCGGAGTGAGATAACCGGCCGCGGTAGGAGCCTGGCAGTGGGTTTGTTTGGTTAGTTTCCCCGAGAGTGGATCTCTGTAATCGCTTGTTAGCTTGCTGCTGTTGTCACCGGGGGACGCTAGCGTTAGCGCTTGACTCCTCGGCTGACACTGCTGTTTGTTGACATGGTGGTGGACGAGTCGTGGGCAGCACGGGGGGGTTTGGTGCCGTTCAATTAGTCCAAGTGTTCGGTCTCCGTCACTTCCACCGCTCGTCCCTGTTGGGTCTCTCGGAACCTGTGAGCTAGCCGGCGGCGGCTAACAGCTAATCGAGGCTAACGCGATCATTAACGTGTGTATGTCTGTGTCTGATGCAGCAGGTGCTGAGCTGACATGCTGGTTGACATGATGTCTTTACATTGAAGATTATATATTAATAATAAGTTTGTGTACGTAGTTGGTTATTGTAGGTGCAATTGAGTAGATTCATTGTTTTCCTAAATAGCACTTAAACACATCATAGACAATGAGGTGTGTGTGTTTCTATTAATAAAGCCTTATTTATACAGCGGAATATATACAATTGAAATGCAAGAAAATGGTAAAGAATGATACAACATCACAACATAAATTGATGATAATTATAATAACAATAATATCTAATTTATAGAGCACTTTTCGAAACACAAGTGCTTAAAAAAGGTAAGATAAATTAGCAAGATAAATAAATCAGTCACAATAAATAGCATCAGTTCAGAAAAAGGTGATTAAAAGAAAATCTGACTGGCCCAGTGGTCTCAGCTTAACTCAGGTTAAATAGTTAGTTCAATGTCGTTTCATGAGTTTTGAAAATGTAAAACTAACTTGAGAAAACAAGTTCAGTTAACTTAAGATATAAATTGAACCAACTGTTTAATTACATGGATTGGGATTAAGTATTAAAATATATAAAGTACTCCCCTGCAAATATTTTAATTATACTTTGTTACAAATAATGAACTGAGCAATACAAACGACCCTCTCTGACTCAGTACAGTCCAGGCTCATGAGCCCATGGCCATGAGGCTCATGATCCCAGCAGATTGCTGAGCGAATCAGTACAAAGATTTTATCCATTTGAAATGGGAATATAGGAAACACTGTTCAGACAATGCATGCTGGGAAGCCAGAACAACTCACGTTTAAGATCTAAAGCCTGAAAGTTGAAACTAGACATTTTAAGTTGAATTAACTTCTATACATGTGTTGATTCCACTAAATACCTGTGTAATGTTTCACAGTGTGACCTGCGTGTCGAGTCAGAGGACATTTGCAAGAAGCTGAGTTTCTTAACTTTCCTCTGTGGTAAAACTGGGCGTCTTTTTGAATGTCAGTGCCCTCTGTCAGTCTGAGTCAGGCTGCAGAGCCAGAACCCATTCACTGTGAGCAGCAGCAGCCTGTCGCTGTCACAGCTTTTCACTCTGAGGTCCAGGACCACTGTTCTGGACTGACGACCAGAGATTTCTTCATGTTGTCATGTTTTGTCTGGTGATGGCTCAGATTCACAGGGAGGAGAGGAGTGTTTAAAGAAGCGAGACACATTTTCAGGCTTGGCTCTGCTTTTATTTGTTGCCTGTGGAGTTCAGAGACAAGCCTGTCTGGTTAGTCTTAAAATCAATGCTGGCTGCTGCTGAATGTAGGAATCAATATCCTGTTATTATAGCATGGTGTGTGTGTGTGTGTGTGTGTGTGTGTGTGTCCTTTAATTCAGGAGCAATATCAGAAATATCACATACTGGAATGTTAACATGTGTAAAGCAGCTGAGTCCGTTCTCGGGTATGAAGACTGGAAGGTAAACCTGTTCTGTGTGATCAGCTCAGACCTGATGTAAACTGGACATGTCAGTTGATCTCTGGTGGATTCCAACAAAGACAGAGAAAATGTCTCATTGTTCAGTGAGTTTAATCCTTCAAACACCAAACTACATAGTTTCTATTTTTAAATTTAAAATTAACTGATCATCTTTTTCCTTTGAGGTGGAAACCTGTTCCTGTTTGTTTAGACTTCAGTAGAAAAGATCCTGATTTGCATTTTGACCATTAAGAGTCACTTCCTCAGAGTTTGTGTGTCGTCAGCTGAGGATAGATGAGTGTGTTTCACCGTCAGACATCATGGGCAAAGAAACCCAGATTCCCTCCACGTCTCAGTCTGATATTTACCCACTGAGCAGCAGAGACAGGCAGCGCCCAGTGTTCAGACTCCACTCCTCTTTATAATAATACGCTCCATTATAGCTACCAACTCTGAGACACTGAGCTTTTCTCAGGCTCTGTACTTATCTGAAACATTATCTGAATCCCTCTGTGTTCTGGCTCTGCTCATTTTATCAGGGCTGGTTTGGGAGTTAACACAAAGTTTATTTATTTATTTAGTTTGTTTTATATAAGTACATACAAAAACATCCTGAACCCCCACCAACATACAATTAAAAGATCATAAAGGATTACTGACTAGCAGATGATGTCCACAGGCTGTTGCATTACTTGTTGCATTTTGCATTTTTTCTTCAAAAAGGAACTGATCGATTATTCAATTATCAAACTAGATGACAGCTCATTTTGTGTCATTCGGTTCATTGTTTTGACCCTACCCTTGCGGTCTCTGTATGGAGGTCAGAGGAGGTCACAGCTCCAGAACAGTGGCCCTGCAGGTGGATGGGATTCATTGCCTTGCTCAGAAGCACTTCACCTTGTTGTGGTTGTAGTTGAGTGGGATTAAAAGAACCACACTCAGGGATATGAAGGTGAAATAATGTTGTTATGCACAGTTTTGACCCACATGTTGCCATAGAGCAAAGACTTTGAAAACATTTGAAGTAACAGTATTTACATATGAAACAGGAAATTAATCTATTAAAATGAATCAGATGTTTTTTTATTTTCTAAAGTTTTCAGTAGCTTCAATGTGAACTTTTCTCCGGTTTATATGAAACATGTTTGTGATGAGCTTTTGTTATGTTGACATGTTGTGAGGTGGAGAAATGAACAGAGTAATCCCTGAAGAAAACAGCAGTCAGCATCACAGAGGAAGTCAGAGCCAGTAACAAGCTCTGATCGTGGAGTGTAATGAGCGACGTGATTACTAATGATGGTGAAAAGCCTCCAGATGATGATTATATTATTGGTTTTATCTGTGTGACTCAGCCGTACAGTTCGGTAGAAAGCAGCTGATGGTGTTGACTGTGGGGTTTATTGCTGTGTTGCCATGCTAACATGTTGCTTATTCCTGTGAGTGGGACACAAAGACACCTATAAGCAGCTTATCCTCAATAACAAGAACCAGGATCTGAGGCGGCGTCCAGGATATGAAGCACATAAAATAAAAAAAAACTCTGCTTTAATCCTGAGGTGAATGCTGGGCAGAGCGTGGTGTGTTTGCTCTTGTTGTCTACCTGCCAAAGAGAGGGGGAGGAGGGCGGAGGACAGATGTTTGTCTCTGTTTGTGTGTCTGAGTGGTGTGAAGCTGGTGGAGTTACACTGACCCCCCTCCCTCCTCATGATAACCTATTTGTGGAGAGAATCGTCCTCTCAGTTTCTCGGCTCTTTCACACTCTGCTGCTTCTCTCCATTAAACTCTGCTGGCGTCTCTGGTCGGGTCACACTGATGAATGGCCTCCACAGCAGCCTGTTAGCCCGTCTGCTAGCATCCACTCAGTTCTCCCCTGCAGTCCTGCCGGACCTCACCCACTAATAAGACAGAGGAGCTCACCAGAAACACAGTGCATCAGAAACATGGGCAGGTTCAGTGTTTTTTCACTGTGGCAGTAAAACTGGGCATTTCAAGCTATTCAACTCAATACTGTTCGAAATTTATTTCCAACTATTCAATTATGTTATATATTCGAAAATGTGCGCTGGCCTCAACTAAGCCATGATGATACTGATGACAGTAAATTTAATTTCTGAACGAACCTGAGAGGAGGAAACAACAGAGAGACAGCCAGAGCCAGAATCAGAGACTAGCAGATGTATCAGAACAGTTAGCGTAGTTAGCAGCTTCTCAGAGCAGCTAGCGCAGTAAGCATCTTTTCAGAACGATTAGCGTAGTTAGCATCTTTTCAGAACAGTCAACGTAGGTAGCATCTTTCCAGAATGGTTAACATCTTATCAGAACAGTTAGCGCAGTTAGCATCTTCTCAGAACGGTTAGCGTAGTTAGCCACTTTTCAGAACGGTTAGTGTAGTTAGCAACTTTTCAGAACAGTAGGCGCAGTTAGCATCTTTTCAGAATGGTTAGAACAATTACCATCTTTTCAGAACAGTTAGTGTAGTTAGCAACTTTTCAGAATGGTTAGAACAGTTAGCATCTTTTCAGAGCGGTTAGCGTAGTTAGCATCTGTTCAGAACGGTTAGCGCAGTTAGCATCTGTTCAGAATGGTTAGTGTAGTTAGCATCTTCTCAGAACGGTTAGTGTAGTTAGCATCTTCTCAGAACAGTTAGCGCAGTTAGCATCTTTAATTTGTTTAAGTTGTTTGTTAGCTTGTAACTGGCAGTGTCTGACACAGTGTTAGCGGTTGTGCTAATGCTAACTCTCTCTCTCTGTACTGACAAGGGTTCAGGTTTATTTAGCCCCACCCCCTGTCCCCACAAGTTGACAGGATTGGTTCCTTGAGTTTGTGACGTATGAAACCCTGGCTGTCTGAATCTGTTTTTATTAGACTGTCATTGGTTCACTGCAGTTCAAGGTGGAAACACTAGATTTGTTGTTAAATCATCATATTTCTTTGATTGATCACACAGTGTTTAGTTAGACTGAATAAATGAAGTGGAATTAAATGGCAGTTCAGTCTGATTAATAGGAAAGTCTAGATTGCAAACAAAAGGCTTTCTGATGATGTCAAACTGTTCCCTGCACAGGAACATCACTGAGCTCTACTTCA